TTGAGATGGTTCGTCGAATTGGATGACGCCATAAGGGCGCGTCGCATCGACGACGGGGATATGCAAGTTGCATTTGCCCAGTCAAATCTGGCAGGACGTGCCAAGACTTGGGCACTGGGGCTCAAGCTGCACGACCCATACGCGTTTGGGTCGTTGGAAGTCTTCAAGTCGCGGCTCAGACAAACGTTTGAACCGCCTAGAGCTGAGTTCAGAGCTCGAACCGAACTCTTGAAGCTCAAGCAGGGTAAGCGTGATGTGCACGCTTACGCTCAACATATACGACATCTCACGAGTTGTATAAGTTCCAATCCGGTGGATGAACACACGTTGGTTTCGGTGTTCATGCAGGGTCTTGCGGATGGTCCCGTCAAGACTCACCTGTTCCGGCTTGAACTAGATTCACTAGAACAAGCCATTTCAATTGCGGAGCAGGAAGACTTCAGTCTGAGACAGGCTCGCGCCAGCTCGACATCATATCGTCAACCGAGACGATATGACAACGGAGGTCCAGAGCCGATGGAACTCTGTTATGCAGAGAGCGAGAAGGCTCGCTCTACAGGCTACAAGAAGTTGCAGAGATGCAACAGATGTCAAAAGACAGGACACTACGCTTACGAGTGTAGTGCCTCTCGTCCAGTGTCTCGCGACACTGGGCGTAGTGACCGTCCACCCATGAGAAAGGGGCAGGGACGAGGGTCCGCAGTTGGTGCAAAGACGCAACAACGGGATGGACCGTCAAAAACGGACAGGATCAGTAGGTGCGGAGCACCCTACTGATCCAGCAACGTCAAGAGAATTTGTAGGCCTCTTGATGAAGGTTGCTCCCAACACACAGACATTGTGCGTTGCTGCTCTAGGTAATGAGATCTCACTCATTACCTTGAAACTCGAAGTGACGAATAAGTTGTCCCTTCGAGCTCTAGTCGATTGTGGGGCGTCCAACAATTTTGTGCGACGCCAATCGCTAGAAGATGGTCACTTTAAATTCAGTGAATGTGACACACCTCCTACGAGGATGACGGTACGTCTTGCGACAGGCGCATCCGTAATCAATATGAAGCGTATAGTGAAGATTCACTATACGCTAGAAGATACCCAATACGACGATGACTTTATCGTATTGGATTTGGATGACAAATTTGATGTCATCCTTGGAATACCGTGGCTCAGAAGGTACGAACCACGGGTAAACTGGCAACATCGGACAGTAACGATGCTCTGCCGCTTGTTCATCAGATGGCCATCTGATGAACGTTTTGGAGCGTCCACAAGCGTGTGGATGTACTACGAGTGAGTGCGATGGCCTCACTTGTGGTACGGTCGTTAGTACGACTGCACAAAACCTTAGTGTACCAAACGGTTACACTTCGGAGCAAAGTTCCGGCGGCTGTGAGGAAACACAGGCTGCGCCGAAGGTCCACCACTCGAATAAGTCGGGTGGACTGGGACAAAGATGTATCCCTAGAGGGGAACATCTAGAAGAGAAAACAATCGATCGCTCAGGTTAAGCGAAACGATAATCCTAGATCGACTGGAGAGTCTTTCGTAGAGGATCTCGCTGTGGTTGCGCAACCCCAGCTAGAGGAAGTAAAGGGAATAAGTCCCAAGATTACAAATACGGCGGAAATAAGTTCCCCGAAACCCGCGGGAATAAGTCCCCGGGAAGACGAAGGAATAAGTCCTTCGAAGCCTGAGGGAATAAGTCCCCAGGAAATGACAGAGACATTGAATGTCATAGTCAATAACGGATCATGTGTAGGCGCTTATACACTTGATCTGATTGCGCCTCCGAAGTTAACTTCGGAGATCACTCAGTTGCCAACGCTCGAACATAAAAGATTCTTGCGTGATCTGCGTAGTGGCAAAGTCAAGCAGATCTGCATACTCGTCGCTGAAGACGAGTATGTAACCGACATAAGGTCAGCAACAGTGTTTACTGAGAACGAGAGAGTTCTCAGTAGTTCATCTATGGACGAGAGTGTCCTAGATGAAAAGACACGAATTGAGCGATATGAGTCCCAATCATGGGAATCGCTCAAGGAAAATCCTCTCTATGAAGATTTGGTTGAATTCAAGGATGTATTCCCTGAAACTGTTCCGTGCGAATTACCGAAGGATAAAGGTATTCGACACGAAGTCGAGCTTAAACCAGGCTCGAAGTACTGTGTCATGAAGCAGTGGCCACTGCCTCGTGAACAAGTACTTGCGATCGACAAGTTCTTTGCCGATCGTTTAGCAGCGGGCCATGTGAGGGAATCAACTTCCCCACATAGCTCTCCGACCTTCTGTGTGCGAAAAGCAACAGGAGGGTGGCGGATAGTGCACGCGTTTAACAAATTGAACGCTGCAACGGTACCGGCTCAGACGCCGATACCGAGGAAGGACGTAATCATTGATGGTATGTCAAAGAGTACCATCTTTTCGTCCATGGATTTGATGGATGGCTTCTATCAAATCCTAATGCGGGAACGGGATATACCCTATACCGCAGTTAGCACGCCTAGCGGCATGCTCTGGGAATGGCTAGTAATGCCACAAGGGCTCAGTAATGCCCTGCCACGTTCAACAGGTGTGTATCACATCTGTTGAGGCCAGTACGAGAATTCGCGCCGAGTTATTTCGATGACGTATTCATCCATAGTCGAGCTATGGATGGAAAGTCGGACGTTGAGGTTCACAAGTACCACGTCCGACAAGTTCTTACAATCATGCGAAAGCATCAATTGTATGTAAACCTCAAGAAGTGTATATTTGCAGCAAGCGAAATACCACTTCTTGGGTGCATCGTTGGTAAGAACGGTGTACGTCCTGATCCCGAAAAGATCAAGGCGATCACCGACTGGCCCGTGCCGGTCGATGTCAAAGGTCTTCGAAAATTCCTTAGCTAGCGGCGTATTTGCATAAGTATTCACGCAATTACGCCGAGATGACTGTACACCTCTCTCGTTTGTTGAAAAAGAACGAGAGGTGGTTATGGAACGCTGAATGTCAACGCTCTTTGAGGGTATCAAGCAGAGCTTGATACAATCCCCAGTCCTAGCAATAGCCGATCAGGACAGGCCATTTCATGTGGTCTGTGATGCCAGCGATTTCGCAATCGGCTGTGCATTAATGCAGTACGACCTTGAAGGCGTTGAACGCGTCGTCTGCTATCAGTCGCGTCAGCTGCAACCAGCTGAGCGGAACTATCCAGTGCATGACAAGGAACTCCTTGCCATGAAGTATGCACTGCGAAGTTCAGAGTCTATCTATTAGAGATAGACCCTTCGTTGTTTACACTGACCATGCGTCCTTACGCACGGCAGTGAACAGCCCGCACCTTTCACAACGAATGGCGCGGTGGTTGTCATTCTTTGCAGAATACAACTTTACGGTCGAGTACAAACCAGGACGACTTAATGTCGTCGCTGATGCACTCTCACGTCGTCCCGACTTTGAAACAGTCGCGAAACCCAACAGTGAGACAGTCACTGTTGCGGTTATGACGTCCTCAGTTCCATCTACAACGTTGTATGATGATGTGAGGCGGGCATACGCCCAAGATGGTGAGATAGTGAAGTTGTTGTCACATCTCTCCCAACCATCTCGAGAATCGTTGAAACGATTGTCGTCTGCGTATCGATCTGCATCAGATCGATACACTACTCGTAACGGTTTACTGTACTATACAGCCGTTTCTGGTGACACACCACGTGTTGTCATTCCAGATGATATTGATCTGCGTTTGCGGATCATGTTCGAGTATCACGATGCTCCTATAGGAGGACATCGTGGCCGAGAGAAAACATATCTCACGGTAAGTCGAGACTTTTACTGGCCCCGCCAGTATCAGTTTGTGCGAAAGTATGTTCGCGCATGCGAAGTCTGCCAACGAGTGAAGTCAAGTCCTTCACTGCGTGCACCTTTACAGCCTCTACCGGTTCCGGCTGAGTGCTGGGAATCCATCTCAATGGATTTCGTCTTCGGGTTACCCAAAGACGCACGCGGGAATACGGGTATTCTCGTATTTGTTGACAGATTCAGCAAAATGGTACACCTTGTGGCTGTACCAGAGACAATCACGGCAAGTGGCTGTGCTTGTGTCTTTATTGACACCATCTTCCGACTTCATGGGTTGCCCCGTGAACTCGTATCAGACAGAGATCCACGATTCACTGCTGATTTCTGGCGTTCCGTGTTCAAATCACTCGGAACGCGCTTGAAGATGTCAACATCTGATCATCCAGAGTCAGATGGTCAGACGGAACGTGCCAATCGTGTCCTTGAAGAGATACTTCGAGGATACGTACACTCCTTTAAGAGTTGGAGTGAGTTTTTGCCAATGGTAGAGTTTGCCATCAACAACTCGGTGCATGCGTCCACGACACATACACCGTTTTACGTGAATGGCTTGCGCCATCCGCGTGTACCCACCTTACTAGAGTGTAACTCTGGTTTAAGGGGGGAGGGACTCGCGCGAGCAAAAACCGATTTGGTTCACGCTCATCACGCTCTGACGAAGAAGTCATTGCGTTTGATGCCGATATCGATAACATCGATATCGAAGAAGATGATGCCAGTGAGAGTGCGGAAGCCCTCACTGAAGACAATGATCCCAGTGAGAGTGCGGAAGCCCTCACTGAAGAAAAGGTTGTTGTCGCTGCAGTGCGCTCACAGCACACTGAAGCTAACGAGTCATCAGATGAGTTCATACTGGCTCGTGAAACGGTAGTCCGTTTTGTGCAAGACTCCATCGCCGAAGCGGTGGATAAGCAAAAGCAAAACGCTGACAAGAATGGAAGGGCAAACACTCTTTTATTTAATAAAGGTGACTTAGTCCTACTGTCTACGGTTAATCTACCAAAACATGTAGTGACTAACTTGGGTAGCAGTAAACTACTACCCAAGTACATTGGTCCATTTCGTGTATTGCACCGCCTAGGCAATGCATACACGATCGAGTTACCACGTAAGATGCGAACGCATCCCACGTTTTACGTTGGTCGGCTTAAGCCGTACCATCAGTACGCTGCTTCTTCCGATAGAAGAACGCCCTTGCGCTCAAGCATCTCGCAGAGAGCCTTGTGCTCCTGATGGTGGGCATCAACAAGGGTCTGAAGAGCAGTTATCTCAGCCCGAGACCGATCAACAATCCCACGAGCTACCCTTAGCTCGTCACGAAGAGATGTCAGAGATCTCTCGTTCTCAAGCTGAGCAAAGGCAAACTCAGCTCGATGCTTCGAGGCAGTGTCCACCATCTGGAGACGCCTATTCCGCTCATGCTCGAGATCGTCGCGTAACCCTTGCGTTACGCGATCAAAGAAGCTCTCGGGAACACACCGATCCACATGATCGTGTGGAGAGCGTCTTTCCTCCTCCTCCACCTCCATTAGAGGACTCTCGCGGTGGCCAGCGCTATCTAGTAGAGCAGCTGTTGAACCACCGCGACGTGAACGGACGTCGGACGAGTTACCTCGTCCGGTGGGCGGCTATCCCCCGTCCTGGGATTCTTGGGAGCCCCGCTCCCAATTGATGGTTGACGTACTGGGTCTGGTCGAGCAGTACGACGCGACACATCCTGTGCCGCAGAAGGACCGCCGGAGAAAGTCTTCCCGGCACGGTCGTAAAGGGATTTCAGGTTGTCAATCCCTTCGTACATCTCAGTAGAGACACGTACGCGCCACCACGGGCTGGTAAGGAGGTAAGCCTCCTTAGGTGCTCGTGCAGAGTTGTTCACACAACATGGGCACGAGTCTCCCCAAGAGAGGCAGGGTAATCCTTTCTCCCTTGACAGACGATGCAGCTTGTAGCGTGCACCTGTCGGGGTTCGCTTTCAAACTTATCACGAGCTTTGATAAGTTTGTCGTTCCAAGCGTCACGACCTACATCCTCGAGATTATGGATGTAGGCGTTCCACGCCTGAAGTAGTGAGGGACCATCACGTTTGTGATTCCCACTGTACCATCGATGTCTGAAGAAAGCATCGATGAAGAACTCATGTTCAGCGCGATAGTCTTTCGCGCTGGGGTCAAGGTGATGAATCCTTGACGAATCGAACAATCGTGTTCGATAACGATCACCTCGTCGTCGCCGACAAGTGATCCATGACAGATTTAGGAGGCATCCATGCCTTCTTTTCTGGAGCGAGACGCAACACATTGCGGTCCCGCTCTTCCTGCGACGTGCCGACAGAAGTACTGGCACCTCGCTGTGAAGTGGTGTCCATTGGAGAAACGACACCACTATTAGCGCCCGAGTCTCGCGACCTCGAGCGCCTTCGCTTCGGCGATGGTTCATCTGACTCATCAGATGAACCAAAGATGCTGCGACGCAAAGCATCGTCCATGCCACGCTTGGCAGGCGGCTTGGATTCAATTGCCGTCGATACGGATCCGTCATCCGTATCAGGAGAGTACGAGACACCGAGCTCGTACTCTGTGAAGACACGAGTGTCTTCATGACCAGCGCCTGCATCACCAGGTGATACAGGCTGGAGTCGATTCAGCAACCGATGGGACATCAGTTGCTGTAGTTTCTGCTTCGGCGTCCGCACAGAGACGTGCAGACGCGCTCTCGGCGGCCTTGCTCGCGCATCGCATGGGCTTGTTTACCATGCGGATGTTGGAAAGTGGACTCGGACCAACAAGTGCAAACCCTGTCCCAAATGATTTGGGACGAGTATCCATTTAGTCAATCAGTCACTAAAGTGACTGATGGTTAAGGGGGGTGATGTAACGGGGTGAATCGTTACATAACAATTTATAAGAAATTGTTAATAGAATATAACTATAAGAGTTATATTCTCAGAATATTGTCATAAGGACAATATTCTGTAGCACTTCCAAGTAGTTCCTAATTGGTTGATATAGGCCATTATATCAACCAACGAAGACGCGCCACGACAGACGCACGCAATGAGTGGTGAGCAGATAACTGATTTACACATTTGTATTTAGACATAGTTAGATGAAGATAAATAGTGATTTATTGCAGACATTAACTATTATAAATACAGTTCTACTTTTTACTCTAACCGAGTACTCGCTTCTTCTTACCGTCTTCCTCTGCACGTACGAGTGTACGTGAAGTTACGAGGCACCGCCTTATTCTGTCATCAGAATAAGTAGCTTGTACTGTCACCAGTACAAGCTTCAGGGTGCCCCGCTACAGATATAGTTAAAACACGTAAAGACTAACTACTTTTTGTGACCTCTCTTCGATTACTGGTTTTTCGATGACTAGATGCACTTTCTCCTGCCTGCGAACAGCACATACGAACCTTCCTTTCTGCATGTGGAAACCCTAATCAAGCCTAGCTTTGTGTATCACCTGCAAAGACATTACTCACGCATGAGCGTGAGCAATGTTATTGCAACATCCAGATTATTATAGGTTTCTGCTTGAAGATGATTGGAGAGAGACCAAAAGAGTCACCTGTTGTGGTCTTTTCTTTGTAAGTCAGAGTGTGTCGAGGCAAAAGGATCGAATTCGCTGCGGCACAGTGTTAGTTAATAAAAAAGGGGTGTAGTAAAAGTACAATATCAAAGAGCAGTTTAAACGCTCGTAGGCTATCCACTAGTATTGCCACATCCACATGTTTAAATCGATGCACTTGTTCTTACGATCCTCCTGATTAGGTAGTGTTGCCAAAATTACACAAGACTGCTATGTGGGAAAAGAAAAGTGCACGATTGCTAGCGCTTATTTACTTTAGTTGATCAACTGTCAGAAATGATTGCGCACTTTAAATTCAATTAACTACTAGTTAAGGTCGTAATCGGTGCCCACATTCAAAGCTTTCCTGATCTCCACCGTCCGCTCTCAATGACGAACCTTTGGCTGCGTGCAAATTCGGTCTCATGAAGTGTACGTGTTCAAGAATATAAAAATCCGGTTACATTTCTGTACCGTTTTTTTTAGCAAATAGCAGTCCGTTTTTAGTGTATTTTTTGTGCCGATTTTGCTGTTGTTATGAATTCGGACTAAGATCATGTGTATGTGTGGCATTAAGAGATATACGAATGGCTGATAAGAAGCCGATGACTTTTGCTTGGTGCGCGTGGGCTTACGTAATTGTTTATAATCTGGGATTAGCCATATGTGCACATGAATACTTTAAGGATAAGGGTGAGGATTGCGTCATGATGCCTGGAAATGGCTTTTCTGTTAGATAAGACTCTCATTCACCTATCCGCTTCATCGATATTAGAATTAATAAAGCACGTGAGCAGCCCATCCTTCTGAATAAGAGCGCGCACGAATAATTGAATTCGGACTTAGTCAACAGAAAAAAAATGTTGCCTCTGCGGGACCGAAGAGTGAGTATCGCACATTTAAATTCAGCAGGATGCAACAGTTTTGTATCATGGTAGCTCGTCAAGGTAGTTTTACATTTTAAACATTTTGTAAATGAGTCAAAGCCGTGTTTAGGGAGCAAAGAACACTTTTGCAAAGTATGTGGGGACTCGCGTTATTTCCAATTTTTCCAGTCTGTTTTTGCATGTGCCAAGATAATCATTTCCTCATGTCAACACAGGAATTGAATTTTAGATGCAGGGTTATTTAAGAGTGACCCAGAATGTCTACTAGAATTGCTTATCACTAATAAGCTTTCTAATTGGGTGAATAAAATCTCGTGTAATCTAACATAACGCAGCTATACTACTCTTAATATCTCACTCTGCTGGATCTAGACATCGGGCTTTGAGGTACAGCACTCTCGTCAGACTTCATACATGAGTCCGTAGACCATGCCAGGGGTATATAGTTGTGCCTACAAGAAATTAGAGGGCAGGGACGCTCTTGTGCTTGGATCCGTTACAAGGGACAGGAAAAAAACTACTATTAGTAATCACGCACTTTTTCTACCATGTTACTGTTTAATTTAATATGATTTACTTGTTTATTCGGTTGAGCTGGTACTGGATTAAAAAAATTCTGCATACATATGGTACTAGTAACAAGAACTGATTACATTTGCCCATCTGTACATTGTCGCACGTGGGTGATGTTGTCATTTCGTTAATGAATTTCGAAATTTTACCGAAATTCGGTAAAATTGCGTGGAGCCTAGCAACGCAGGGATCATTTTCTCTTTCTGCCCATCATCCGAGAAAATTGCGAAACGGTATGGGCCTTATGCAATAGCGTCAAGAAGATAGGTGGCGTCGACTGGGAAAACGCAGGATGCTAATGCTTGTCCTCCCTACAAGCCGAAAGCAAGGACCGGGTGCCAATTGTCGATCGAGCAAAGTAATATCTCCTGATATATAAGATTATTTGACTAACACGAGCGTTAGATGGTGAGTGTTAATCGATTTACGTATTTTTAAATTATTACAAGGCTTTATAACAGTAAGGTAAAATAACGGTCTTCTTTTTAAAAATTAGCATAATGACAATGTGGTGGAGTGGGTGTCACAACGTTTTGACGAGACCCTAAACCACTCACTGTGCCGTACTGCCTACTTTAAGAGGGGGTACCCCGATGCCGCTTGTGGACCTTTACTCACCTTGTTTACCCGTCGGCTTGACGGGCTTTACTCTTCGGATGACTTGGTAATGATTTAGACGTCGGCCTTGATGGAGGTCGACCTGGGGGTGCCCGAGCGGATATGCTTCAGTAGGGGTGTTTACCGCCTGGCCTTTACGTGTCTTCTCCCTTGCCACTAGGGTATGGAGACCGCTTCCTATAGCGGGATTGAGGGGGAGTTGCTACTTTTCAAACACACAGACCAATGTATTTCCTGGGTTTCTACTAACGCTTGTGTCTTACTTACAACTGAATATTCGACGGGTGGGCCAAACAGATCCCTGGCCCGGAACAGGTCGATAGACTTACGAGTTTCTTATCGCACGACACGTCGTGCTGCTTGGATCGCAAATTGAGTAGTCATTTATGTTGTCCTATCCTTTATACTCAGTTACTCTATCGCGAGTAGTTTTAAAGTTATCCTATCCTTTAAACTCCTTCACTCTATCGTTGCCTTGCACCTGGGTTCGCTATGATGAGTGGCTAGGGGCCACCATACCTTGAGGGACCGAGTAGATCTATGAGTGACCAGGTCGGCCGATGGGTGGCCAGGTGGGCCTACAGGGAACCGATGTCCACCTTGGGCGACCAGGCCAACCGACGAGTTGATTGAAAAAGATCCATATCGGTACCGTTTAACTGGTACAATCGGTCGTTGTGACTTCATTAGTAGTAAACTTAACAACTCGTCAAGGTTGGACACAGCGGCCACTCTTTCCTCGTAACTTCCAGGTCCCCGGTCCCTTTAACGACCGCGAGATCCCATGTCCTTCCGGTTCGTCGACCCATAAGTCCATCATTTTCAAATACTCGCTTCATCACTAATGTAACGGGGCACCCTGAAGCTTGTACTGGTGACAGTACAAGCTACTTATTCTGATGACAGAATAAGGCGGTGCCTCGTAACTTCACGTACACTCGTACGTGCAGAGGAAGACGGTAAGAAGAAGCGAGTACTCGGTTAGAGTAAAAAGTAGAACTGTATTTATAATAGTTAATGTCTGCAATAAATCACTATTTATCTTCATCTAACTATGTCTAAATACAAATGTGTAAATCAGTTATCTGCTCACCACTCATTGCGTGCGTCTGTCGTGGCGCGTCTTCGTTGGTTGATATAATGGCCTATATCAACCAATTAGGAACTACTTGAAGTGCTACAGAATATTGTCCTTATGACAATATTCTGAGAATATAACTCTTATAGTTATATTCTATTAACAATTTCTTATAAATTGTTATGTAACGATTCACCCCGTTACATCACCCCCTAACCATCAGTCACTTTAGTGACTGATTGACTAAATGGGATACTCGTCCCAAATCATTTGGGACGGGGTTTGCACTTGTTGGTCCGCGTCCACTTTCCAACATCTCATCGCATGGTAAACAAGCCCATGCGATGCGCGAGCAAGGCCGCCGAGAGCGCGTCTGCACGTCTCTGTGCGGACGCCGAAGCAGAAACTACAGCAACTGATGTCCCATCGGTTGCTGAATCGACTCAGCCTGTATCACCTGGTGATGCAGGCGCTGGTCATGAAGACACTCGTGTCTTCACAGAGTACGAGCTCGGTGTCTCGTACTCTCCTGATACGGATGACGGATCCGTATCGACGGCAATTGAATCCAAGCCGCCTGCCAAGCGTGGCATGGACGATGCTTTGCGTCGCAGCATCTTTGGTTCATCTGATGAGTCAGATGAACCATCGCCGAAGCGAAGGCGCTCGAGGTCGCGAGACTCGGGCGCTAATAGTGGTGTCGTTTCTCCAATGGACACCACTTCACAGCGAGGTGCCAGTACTTCTGTCGGCACGTCGCAGGAAGAGCGGGACCGCAATGTGTTGCGTCTCGCTCCAGAAAAGAAGGCATGGATGCCTCCTAAATCTCGTCATGGATCACTTGTCGGCGACGACGAGTGATCGTTATCGAACACGATTGTTCGATTCGTCAAGGATTCATCACTTGACCCCAGCGCGAAAGACTATCGC